CCCCAGGACAGCCCTTCTGCAATACTAGTGAGTTCTGTTCACCTCTAGGTGTTTACATACCTTGGATTTGTTTCATCATGTCACGCCTTCTTACCTTTCAAAACATAACTCTCGCTGGGCATAGTGGCATGTTATCTGTAATGCCAGTTATTAAGAGGCTAAGGAGGGAGGATTGCTTGAGCCCAGAAGTTCAGGGCTACAGTGAGCTATGATCATGCTGCTGCACTTTGGGCAGCAGAGTCAGACCTCGTTTCTAAATAAACCAGTAAATTTGTAAATAAATCATAAATAAATAAATGTAACTCTGCTGTGAGCTCCTCCAAAAAGCCTCCTCCCTCCCTTTCAGGCAGAACTGACTTGCCTCTTCTCTTTAGCGCTATGTACTTGGTACCTTATATTCCAGTTCTCTGTGTACGTGTCTGATCCATACATTCTTCACAGACACCTTCTTCTATTTATTTTTTAATCCCCCACACCCAGCAAATATTGAGCAATCAACTGTTGAACAAAACTGAGTTGAACTATACTGAAGGGAAGCTACTTAGTGTTTACCTGTCATATTTTAATATTGTACTAGGCTTGCTTATCTCCAGAATAAACAAAAGGTTGTGAGCAGGGCAGACAGCATAGATGGGAGTTTTTGGAAAACTGCAAATCTCAGTAAAAGTAGGATAATTCCAGATCATCTGTCTTTCTCTTTCTCCTCTATCTCCCTTTTCTCTTTCCCTCTTCCCTCACAGAAATTACTGTCTGCAAAGGAAACAAAAGTCAAAATGTTCCAAATGTTCTTTGGCCAATGAACATTTGGAAATATTAAAGTTTCAAAAATACAAGGAAAAAAAAAAACAGTAAAACACGCAAGCAAGCAAACAAACAGGCAAACAAAAAACGCCTATCTCTAATGTCTTAACATTTATTGGTAATTTTTGAGATAAGCGATTCCATTTCTTCATGGACATAATTATTCATTGTTCCAAACACTTTTGCATGCACATGATTTTGTCATCATTCTTATGAGTAACAAATAAGCTTGTGAGGTGGTTTGACTTTTTTGCATTTAACAAATTCCCTTGTTGTCTTTTCAACTGAAGTACAGCTGTTATGCTAACACTGAAAAATATTAAACATTAATAAAGTACTTGCCAGAAAAAAAATGCTATTTCCATTATTTTCCTCATCTTGAGTTTATTTATAATATTATTTCTCTGGAAACATCTTTCTATCTCCCTCAAGTGTGTGACATAATAGCAGCCAGAATGCTGCATATTTTTTAGCAAGTCTTGGCTCTGCCCTGTGATCTGATAGCAGGAGTGGAGATTCTTACTGCAAGTTACCTGGGAATATTACCTTATGGAGGCAGATTTAATAGCACATCTTCCACTTTGCACAGTGCTTCCCAAAACTCCCATGACTCTAACTTGACTACATTACAGATTCAATCTGAGTGGTTCCCTATCATTTTCACTTACAATGCAATATCCTGTGGCTTTATTTTGTAATGTGTCTTTGAGAGCAAAATTCAGCATTTTAAGTGCTCTAAAAGTTAAGCAATACTGTTAGAAAACTAAACAGAAGCAAAGAGAGGAAAATCTGAGTACATAAGAGCAGGGAAAATGTGATAATTCCAAATCAAATTTTAAAAGACATACATGTTTTCAGACAAGGCGTGCCTCTTAAACTCAGACAAAGTTGTAAATAGAAAAATGTTGACTTCTTTGCTCCTCTTCCATCGCTTTTGCTTTATTGCAGATTCCACACCCACTCCAACCCCACCCCAGGATGCCCAAATTTCTTTTGTTGAAAAGATTTCTTTTTTTTTTTTTTTTTTTACCTTTGGCATAAACTGATAAGGCTGTTGACATTGAGGTAAAACAACTGCATTCTATACCATTTGCAGGGTATTCAAATTTACAAGAGAGGTAGGAGAGGCACTGGATTTCCAGGAAATGAATTATTAATATTGAAGTCCAAGTAGTAGTGTGAAGAGGGACTCTGAACCAGGAAGTTTTCCAATATTCTTAAATCACATCACAAAGGCAATTCATTTTTTTTTAAATCTGAGATTGCATAATCCTCATTCTTATTTTTTACAACAGGACACTGAGGTTCTGAGATTTTATTTCCCCAAAATTGTATGACTTGACCTAAACTGCCACATTCTTTGATCCTTGATATTATATTACTTCTCTATTTGTACTACTAAAATGTCTCTGCACAGTTTCCTGCCTTGGTCAGTCCAAAACAGGGCATTTTCCTTGCTCATTGATCCTCACACACAGTGGGCTGCCTAGATGGGCTTTTCTATTGTGGCTAGAGACAGAATCGCAGGTTGACCCAAGTCTATATTGACAGACATCTAAGGCATACCCAGAAAGCCAGTTTTACATTTACTCTTTTCTTCAAGGTAGTTTCGGGGAGAATGGCTCTATGAGGCAAGTCAATTTCATCATGTGATTTTTTTTTTTCTTACTTTAAAAGGAGTCACACGTCCTCCCTAAGGCATGTGAAAAATTATCCAATAAAATGTTTAATGATGCTATCACTGACTCTAAGCAAAGATACTGTTGTACCTATTGAAAACTTTCTGTAAGCCCTCTGCTAAAGCCCTCAGCAGGTGAGAGGCAGATAACTGAGCTGGAATCTTCTACCTCTGTCCCCAGTCATTTTCACTGACTCATTTTCTCAATGGTTTAACTCAAAAAGAAAAACATCTGAATGAGCAACACTAATGTTCCTAAAATCAAAAAACTTCCTTGTTAAGATTCACCCATTGGACAAACTAAAAGCACTAAGAAAAATTCATCCTGTTTAACCCAGTAGAAGGGATGCTATCAATAAATGTGAGATGATATCCTAGCCATTGCCAGAGATCAGAGCTAATCAGATCAAGCTGTGAAGTGGAAAACAGCCATCACATAGAAACTCTTCTTTTTCCAGTCAAGAGGAGCTTGACAATTCAAAACAACAGTCTGAATTCCCTCTAGCTGTCTGGGTAGAGGCTCATTTAGAAGCCAAAACATGAGGCAAAATTCAAAGGAGAAACACAAAGGCTGAAAATTGAAAACTGACCTCCATATTCCAGGCCAAGAACTGGGGAAAAGTCCAGGTTAAGAATTGATGGTGAAGCCAGTAGCAAAGTAGGACTTGCCTCTTGTGATGTCAGAGTCAAACATTTACTCCCTTATTTACCAGACCAATCCATCTTTTAGGGCTAAGACATTCTAAAAAGGAAGTTTTTCCTCTTCCACCATTCCAGTAAAGCCCAAAAGCCACTTAAACATTATTTTATAGATTTGTATAGAAAGGAAACTCCTCACTTGTCTCCATTAAAATGTACATTCTGAGATAGTTTTGAATTTGCTTCTCTTTAATGAGCCCATCTGTGCTCTGAACAATATAGGAGAAATTAAGACATAGTCTCCACCCTTGAGGAACTTACAATTTAGATGGTAATCAAAGATTAGTAAATTCACAATAAAGTTAATCAGATCATTCTTCACAGGTTGCCTGAGGAAATCTCTGTCACCCTTATTGGTATCCTAGGCCTTTCTTACCCGTGTCTACCTGGTCTGCCTAATCTCATCTTTCTCACATTTCAAAATCCACATTTTTCAAAATACAGTCAAGTTAGACAACACATATGTCCTAAGAAATATTATATAAAACTTTGAAATACAGGGAAAAAAAATCAAGCCCTTACAATCTTATACTGGAGCACCATCTGATAGGTCTTCCCCAAGATTATTTAATTCTCTAAGATAATGTGTCTATTTTGATATGGAATATATTATTGTTACATTCCAGACATTCTTAAGTTACATGTTAATTTGTAGATTCCTGTCTGATAGAGGCACAAATGATTTCCGTCTAGTAGATAAGATAAATTCAAAATTAGAGTTGTGTTTTACTGATATGGTGTTTCCAACTTAGCAAACTTAAGCATGCCTTTCCTTTCTAAATATATAAATATGTATTTCACAAATGCCTAATGAACCAGCCTTACTATCCTGATGGTTTTCTCATAATTGAGTTAAATAAATATTTGTCATGGATTTAATCTTTATTTGTCTGAGTTAAGTTTTAACCTTCATTAAATGTAAAATGATGTATGAACTACCATTGTTATGTGCACTGGTATATTGTTTATAAAAGCAAATACTAAGAAACAAATCAGTCATCTATCATTAGGGAATCAGTAAATAAATAACGATATACATGTAATGGATAACTTTGCAGTAATATAAAATTATGATATTTATTTCTAGTTATTACCATTAAAAAATTGATGATGTTGAATAAAAAGCAGATTTCAGAACAAACAGAATACTGGTATGATTCTTTTTTTAGTAAAGTTGTATGAATGTATCTCTGTGTGTGTGTATATATATATATATATATATATGGAAAGGTATCTAGAAGAGTATTCACCAAGATATTTGCAATGATCATCCCTGAGAAGTTGGATTTTACATGACGTTTATATCCTTCTTGTTTGTATGTCTTCTTTGCACATTTTTTCTTCAAAAAAAACTATTACATTTTGAAATTCTTTTTTTGTTGTTGTTGCTGTTTTCCTGAGATAGGGTCTCACTCTTGCCCAGGCTGAGTGCAATGGCACAATCAATCACAGTTCACTGCAGCCCTGACCTCCCAGGCTCGTCATCCTTTCACATCACTCTCCCTAGTAGCTGTGACTATAGGCATGTATCACCATACTAGGATAGTTTTCTATTTTTTGCAGATACAAGGTCTCACTATGTTGCCAAGGCTTGCCTCGAATGTCCAGATGCAAATGATCCTCCTGCCTCAGCCTCCCAAAGTGCTGGGATTGCAGGTGTGAGCCACTGCACCCAGCCTTGAAATTCTTAAAACAGTCAATCCAGCCTGGGTAACAAGAGTGAAACTCCGTCTCAAAATTAAATTAAATTAAAAAAAAAAAAAAAAAACAGTCAACCCGAGAGTCTTTTTTTTTTTAGTCTGGAAAGACATACCTCATTGACTATCTAGTTATACCTTGATGCTGGTAGGATCCCTACAGCTTGAGAAGAAGACTGACTAAACTGACTCCAGCTTCCACAGTGTGGTTTGCCAGTTAAATTTGTAGCTGCTCCTCAGCAGGTAAGAGCCCAAGCAGTAATTGATGACTGAGCTCTACCTTCTCATGGGTACTGTGGTTGGGAACACTTTCATTCTCTCATCAGATATTTATTACACATCAACCACAAGACAGGCATTTGACTGGGCTTTGGGAATTTTAGTGAGCAGGATGAGGTTGGTTCTTTTCAATACTGTGTTAGCCCATTCTCACACTGCCATAAAGAAATACCTGAAACTGGGTAATTTATAAAGAAAAGAGCCTTAATTGGCTCACAGTTCTGCAGGCTGTACAGATTCTGGGGAGGCCTAAAGAAACTTAAAATCATGGCAGAAGGCAAAGCGGAAGCAGATAATATCTTACAAGGCCAAAGCAGGAGGAATAGAGAGATAATGGAGGTGCTACATACTTTTAAACAACTAGATCTCAAAAGCATTCACTCACTATCACAAGAGCAGCACCGAGGGGGAAATATGCCCCATGATCCAATCAACTCCCACACAGCCCCACCTCTAACACTGAGGATTACAATTTGACATGAGAGTTGCATGAGGACACAGATCCAAACCATAACAATCACTGATCTTAAAGTCTCGATGTAAGTCCTTAGAATGACGGTTTCCTCGGTAATTACAAGGGCTCCACAGGATCAGAGAACAGGCTGCTTTCTCCTGATGAGTTTTGCCCCTGGAGGACAATCAACCCAGCCATATTCTAATCCCCATGAACATCTCATGACCCAGATTTTTTCCTCCCTTTTTCTGGTTGTATTACTGAGTTCTAATATTACCTCTCACCTGAGATACTTTATTAAGTGTCTGTAGGGCACAGACAGACAAATCTATAATATACATTCTCCTCCCACTCCCTCCCCTTAGGATAGTCATGATGCACTAATTTCTTCTGTGCTGAGAGTTTCCTGAAGGAACTCATTGTCTGTATCAGTAGGACAAACCCTTTCAGTTGTTTTTAAAGACACATTTGTAATGAAACAGCTTCATGTTCCCTCCCAGAGCCATTTTTGATCAACATGCTTTTCAAGAAAGTGGTAATGAGGAACAGACTGAATGGACTTTGTGGTCAAGCAAGACAATAAAGTTAACTAAACTGCTTAGGGGTCAAGTAAAACTTATAACTCAGGTTTCGTTAATATTGTGCAATGACCTATGAATTTATGTTAATAATTCATTGAGCCACAAAACCTGTGGAGGATAAAGTGATGCTGATCATCTATCCCCTCACATGAACATGCAAACCCTTCTTGACAGTGTAAATCAGAATCATTAAGGCAGAAACCTACAAGCGATCCTCGACATCTTCCTTTTTCCCCAAGACTCTCTTACCAAGCTCTCTTGATTTTCTTTCTGGACATCCCTTTTTTCCCTCTCCATCTCCAAGACTACCAAACTGGTCCAAGGCACCCTTTTCTTATCACTCACCTGGACCACAAAAATAAACTACTAATTCTAAGAAAAATCTTCTTAGATCCTTATTTGTTCTCCTAAATGAACATAAAATTATCTCCATCCACATAAAACCATGTAAGGCCTTTCTGAAGCTCTTAGGCAAAGGTCACAGTCTTTACCATGTCCTTCAAGGTTCTGCAATCATCTGCCCCAAATCGCTGCCAATTCCAATTCATATATGTCCCTACACCAACCCCAGTCCTGTGACATTAAGGTTTTTTGTTCTTGACCTCAAAGAATCACTTTCTGGCCCTCCCATGGTTTTGGATCAAGTAGTAATTATATGTAGTTCTTCCTTATTGGCTTCCTGATAGTGTTTTTATTCACTAAATTTGATGCCTGGCATCTAGGCGATGTTCACTGCTTAATCAAGCAATGAATAGAAGAATAAGTGGGTATGCCTATTGAGTTTCAAAATAGCAGACTTAAAGATTTTAATGAACTTATATTATTATAGTCTCTTCCTTTGTATCATAAAATCCATTAAAAATTTCTGAATAAAAATCTCTTTGAAAACTTGAATTTTTGTTCTGTTTTATATGTACATTCTTTTCAGTGTGACTATATATTAGGAAGACCTATTTCACAAATCAAGATGATACTTAGACTCACTACTCAGAGTGAAAACACTTTTATGGCAGAGACAGTTCTGCTGTATTCTAAATGTTTTAAATTTTTTTAAATGTGCCAATTTATCTAAAAGATAGTATAAAATATCTACCAATTTAATTACCAAGTGGTTAAGTTCAATAAAAACCTTTATATCCACAGAGGAGGGAAGGCAAAGTGGCTGACTAGACATAACCAGTTGAAACAGCTGCCACAGAGGGACCAAGACCACTGGCTACTCCTAATAGATCTTCAGAGGGAAGGTATCAACAGTGATACCTGTGAACAGAGGGAAGACACAGAAGCTGAGCAGAAGTGGGAAAAAGCTGGGAATCCTACACGGGTCTATTGTATACCTGGACTTGTTCCTGGCCCCCAACAGCTTTGGAGAAATGATTCAGTTGAACTGGCAAGGAGGAACCCACTCTCACCACAGGCCTCTGGAACCAGAGACACTCAAGTTGTCAGAAAGAGCTTTAAAGAAGTTATAGGAGAAGCAAGTCACCTGATGTGGAACCCAGAGGGTTTGGTGCAGGAGTATGTGTAGAGAACACGATCAGGGACAGCAGTCCCTCCAGAATTGACTTGTTCCCATAGGAGACTTTAGCCCTAGGGAAATATCAGGCCTGAACTCTGCAGGGTGGTCTTGCCCATCAGACAGGCTGGTCTGACCTGAGTGCTTCTTGGTCATCTGGCCTCTCCTGAGGATCCAGCCTGACCACATCTGCTAGCATGGCAGCCTTGGGTGCCCTGAGGGTGTATATCATAGTATCTGCACTTGCAGACTGTGCCTAATGGGTGAAAAGCACCAGTGGGGCAGCCCCTATGGCCATGCACCAACCTGCATGCTCCCTCCCAATACCTCAGCTTCCCCCTCACCCCACCCTGCATTCACAGCAGCTCCCCAGATTGCTTTGCTTGTACAAGTCTGTACAGGCAGATTTTGCTTTCTTTGCCACACCAGTGTGCAACTGCAGGTGCACACCCCTCTGCCATTGCTGCAGTGAAAGTGCAGCCTACCTCCACCCCTCCCCAAATGTCACTGCAGATGGAGACTTGGTGGGCACAGAGCCAGCCAGCCCTGCCCTGGCCAGTGCCCCACTCTTGCACTAACACTGCCACAGGAGTAAAACTAGGTACAGAGAATAGTGAATCCTCTTCTGCACTGAGCAACCACTCATGCTTGCAAGACACAGAGAAGGCACAGAGACCTGTACCAGGCAGCATCCCCCAAGCCAACAGCACGACCATGCACACAGTTGCCACAGTCCCCCACTCTGAAAAGATGCATTGCCTCTGCCACTGTAACACCTGCAGGGAGGCAGGCGCCCCAGCATGTACGAGCACCCTGCTTCAGCTGACAAGTATGCAACCCCCTGCACTGCTGTTACCATGGCTGCTGGCACATGTGAATGAGCATGAATCCTGTAATCACCACATTACAATACACTTTGGTTGACACCTCCCATCAGAGTGCAGTAACCAGAGGTTTGGGACCACATTGGTCCCCCCAGCACAGTGAATTTCTAATGTTGAGGAGCAAGAGAACAAAGCTGGAGCCCAACACAACCCCCTCAGAGCTAGAGCACACAGTCCAAGTGTTGGGAATGCAGTACTGACCCCTTAAATGCTTCAAGAAATGAAGCCACTCAGCTAAATCCACCTCATATCACAATCAAACCCTCAAGGTCAAAGAAAAAAAGAAAAAAAAAATCCAAAGGATAGTAACTTCTAAGACTGAAGGAACATAGGACCACAAAGATGAGAAAGAACCAGTGCAAGAACCCTGACAACTCAAAAAGCCAGAATGCCTTCTTTACTCCAAATGACCACATCACCTCTCCAGCAAGGGCTCTGAACTGGACCAAGATGGCTGAAATGACAGACACAGAATTCAGAATATGGATAAGAATGAAGATCATTGAGCTACAGGAGTACATTGAAATCCAATCTAAGGAATCTAAGAATCATGATAAAACAATTCAGGAGCTGAGGGACAAAATAACCAGTACTGTATAGAAAAGAATGTAACTGACATGACAGAGCTGAAAGACACACTACAAGAATTTAATAATGCCATCACAAGTATTAATAACAGAGTAGACCACATGAAGGAAATAATCTCAGAACTTGAAGACTGGATTTCTGAAATAAGACAGGATATAAAATCAACGTGCAAAAAATCACAAACATTCCTTTACACCAACAACAGTCAAGCCAAAAGCCAAATCAGAAACACAGTTTCATTCACAATTGCCATAAAAAGAATAAAATACCTAGGAATACAGCTAACCGAAGAGGTAAAAGATCTCTACAAGGAGAACGATAAAACACTGCTCAAAGAAATCAGAGATGATACAAAGGAATGGAAAAAAATTCCATGCTCATGGTTAAGAAGAATCAACATCACTAAAATGGCCATACTGCCAAAAGCAATTTATAGACTCAATGTTGTTTCTTTTAAACTACCAATGACATTTCTCACAGAACTAGAAAACGCTATTTTAAAATTCATATGAAACCAAAAAAGAGCCTGAATAACCAATGTAAGCAAAAAGAAGAAAGCTGGAGGCATCACACTACCTGACTTCAAACTATACTGCAGGACTATAGTAATCGAAACAACATGGTACTGGTACAAAAACAGTCACATAGACCACGGAACAGTATAGAGAACAAAGAAATAATGCCACACACCTTCAACTACCTGATCTTTGACAAAGCTGACAAAACCAAGCAATGGGGAAAAGACGCCCAATTCAATAAACGGTGCTGGGATATCTGGCTGGCCATATGCAGAAGATTGAAACTGGACCCCTTCCTAATGCCATACACAAAAATTAACTCAAGACAGATGAAAGACTTAAATGTAAAACCCAAAACTATTTAAAACAAAAACCAACACCATTCTAGACATAGGAACAAGCAAAGGTTTTATGATGAAGACGCCAAAAGCAATTGCAACAAAAGCAAAAATTGACAAATGGGATCTAATTAAACTAAAGAACTTCTGCACAACAAAAGAAACTATCAACAGAGTGAACAGAGAACATACAGAATGAGAGAAAATATTCATATGCTATGCACCTGACAAATATCTAATATCTTGCATCTGAACTTGAACAAATTTATAAGAAAAAACAAAGGACATGAACGGACACT